AGGAGGACATTTGGAAATATGTATTTGTTGGGAACTATTCTCAGAGGCGGAACATGTCAAAGACGATCCAAAAAAACTCAATAAAAGTTTTTAAAATATGTATTCGTCCCGATTCAAAATGTAAGAGAATGATCTTGGTAAGATGATTCAGAAGAATGGCTATAAGATGTCTCCTTGAGGTGTAGAGATAGATTCAGATCTGCTCAAAGGGTCCTATTGAAATGTTGAGTACCCCAAAGTTTTATGATAGAAATTTAAAGTACGGTCCCCAGCACATAGAAACTGCCGGATGCTAACTTTCATATGTTGGGTAATTTGCTAAATTAGCATAAGGTGTGTTGATTAGCATCAATTACCATAGAGCATAGGTGGGGACTCGAGTCACATGACTTGACTCGTGTCGGACTCGAGTCGCATATCTTTGGACTTGAGACTTGCTTGACTAACATTGATAAAAGACTTGACTTTGACTTGGTATTCATGACTTGAGACTTGACTTAAGCTTGAGACAGATGACTTGAAAGGACTTGACTTTTTAAAATTAAATATTTGCGTTTGTTTTTGTATTGAGATATTACATTTAGTTTTTTCGAAAAACGTGATTGGGTGATTATAGCGTCGTGTGCGCAAACCTGGCAACCCACTAGACCGCAGGAGTGTCAGTTAACATGGCAGCGGCTAGCGTTACTCCACAAATAGTCAACTTTGGATTCAAGGATTATGTTGTCGATGACGCTAATAAGAAGAGAACAGCGGTATGCAGGGTCTGCAGCATAAAGATCAGTGACACGACCACCACAACATCCAACTTCATTCGTCGCTACAAAAAAACCCACAGAGAAAGGTGCGTGAATGTGTTGTGTTAGCTAGAATGCTAACGTTAAGTTTAAGCTACGTTAGACTTGGTTTCAAATCGATTAAGCATTGCAAAGAGAAGACAAAACGGTAAATGAACACTAGAACCTCCAAGGGATTCATTTTGACTAACCCTGATACTGACGGGCTGTCAGGAGAGGGAGAGAGAGAGAGAGGGAAAGAGATGCCTCGTTTATTTCCCCTGTGTTATTATCAGAAGTTACTGTAAACCTTTGAATAATGTAGTTCATCTACTTTTAGTAGTTTGTTTAAATGTTTTAATTATGTTGTTTTTGTTTGTAGAAGTGCATCATTCCTTGATTTATTGTAAAAATGAATCTGAACTTTTTGATCTGTTGTGATGATAAACTGAAGCAATTTCAAAATTAACCCAATTAAGTGAGTTTGAAATCGTCCTACTTAGTTTATAAGGAAATTATGAAGAGGAACAAATGAAATGATTTGAAAATGATATCTGTGTAGGTGCTGACGCTGTTGGCGGTTCTAGTGTTAACAGACATTTAAATTAAATATCTGCAATGGCAAATGCCATATATGATTTTCTTACCTGGAATTCTGCCTTTTTGAACAGACTTTTTGACTGAGTCCTAGCTATATTGTCTGCAGTTCTAGGGTTAATATGAATTTAATATGATTGTCATCGGTCTAAATTAGATTTCAAATGATTAACTGTATGTAATGAAGATCATAGTGTGGGTTGAATCGATTTTCATAACCACTGTCTTTTAACTGATTTAAATGGGGAAACTGGGCTTATTCATCAGAATTATGTATGACCTGAGCAATGACTTGACTTGCTTGACTCTCACCACAGTGACTTGGGACTTGCTTGATACTTGTAGGTCAAGACTTGAGACTTGCTCATGACTTGCACATATAGGACTTACTCCCACCTCTGCAATAGAGTGTCGACAATAGTTAAAAAATGGCTTAGCAGATTTGGAGTGGTTTTGGGTGTTATAAAGGATGGCGAGTCCATAACTAGAAAATGCCAATATTTGTACTCCCGGTGGGATTTTAAAACTTTGAAATGGATAATTTAGTTTTGACAGATTGCTTATTTATTTGAAAAAAAAAAAGGTACACATTAGAGGTAATACATTTCATCTTGTGCTCTCTATATCCAATGGTCGCGGCACTACTCATGGTAGTCAAAATCAGCCCACTCGGGAGCAGTGTGAGAAAAAGTTTTTAGAGAGTACTTGTCCATGGACAAGTGAGTTTGGCAATTTACTTGTCCGAATACATTTTTCACTTTTCACAAAATTGGGGCCACTGGAATCTTCTTCTTCGCCAACGTATTTTCCCACGTTTTTTACGACACCGCTAACGTAAGTGAGCGGTAAGATTTTACTGCATCACACATAGGGTTGGGTATCGTTTGGATTTTAACGATTCCGGTTCTGCTTTTCGATTCCGGTTATTTTCGGTTCTTGATTCCGGTTCATTGAGAGGGTAAAAATAAGTCCCATGACAAACTGGGAGAAAAACATATTTATGAAAACATTAAGTCAAACCTGTATTCCTATTTACAAATCACTTCATACGGTTTAATTTCTTACGGTTATTGAATACAATTATATAAAAATAATCTCTGCATTGTTTAGTTAGTTCTATGTGGTGCAGTTTGAGAATGTACAATTGGCCCAGTCTCCTCTGATGTTACACTGCAACCTGCCTGTGAGACAGAGTCCAACCACACATGTCCAACACATAGGCCTAATAATAATAATAATACATTATATTTATAGCCTATAGGCCTAGCGCGTTTCTACAACTCAAAGACGTTTGCATGCTTACACATGTCCTGCAATACACATGCTGCAGCTGCCCAGCTGCTCACTGTTTGTAAATAAATAGTATTTTCATTTCAATAATGTACTTTCTATACCCTGCTTCATAAACAATACTGACATCCCTGTGCTCCTCCGAGTCTGGGGGTCGGGGGATGTGAGGACACAGACAGGGAGGCTGCTTTATTTCATAAAGGAAATGGCGTCAATATTAACAACGTAGGAGCTAAAACGCTTAATAACCTTCATTACGTGTTAAAGAAAGAACATAAGAAAGTTTGACAAAGATTAGGCTGTTAAACGGGCAGCGGGTCCGCTGTGTGTAGAAAGAGAGAGAGACGCTGAACTGCACCGTGCAGCGATCAGATGATCCGGAGCAGAGAGAGCTGCGGTCCGCGGGGCTCGGCCTCGCCTCCTGTCCTCACAACTCTTATTAATCCCGGTACCGGACAATTGTTATTTGTTCCTACTTGGAACCGAATTTTACTTCCCAACCCTGCCACTGTGCTACACGTCCCGCACCGCCCCGCCCCGTCTAACAGTACAGAAAGCGGCGAGATGCAGGAATAGACAAGCAGAACCGAAACTAACATTTCTAAACTAACAATGGCGGACACGGACAATTTGCGAATGAGTTCTGCCTTTTGTAAACTGAGTTTATCAATAATTTGTCAATAAATGAGGGCTAAAAACGTCACTTGTCCGCCGGACAAGTCAATTGAAAGATCTACTTGTCCGACATTGTAAATAACACGTCCCGGACGGTGGGACGTGTGCTTTTTCGCACACTGGGGAGTACAAATAATGCCACTGAAAAATGTATTCAGCATCCTCATTAACCCCCCAAAACCACTCAAATTGTCCACTATTTTCTACATAGGCTATAATACCATTAAAGCTAATTAACAAAACTTATGCTAATTGTGCAAATTGCCCAGCAAATGCACGTTAGCATCCGACAGTTTCTATGCGCTGGGACCCGTACGTTACATTTCTATCATAACCCTTTGGGATACTCAACATTTCTGGGTTCACTATGCTGGCAACTACACTACATCTGGATGATACTAGGGATGCTCCGATCGCCGGAATCAGTATCGGCCAATACCGATCGCCAATCCGATCGAGTGGGCGGGGCCTATGGGGATCTTCAATTTAAAGTGGACCTATCATGCTATATTTGAATAATATAGTGTAGGACCATACCTATATAAGGCATATTTATACTTTTTTTCCCCTCAAAATACCAAACAGATCATGCATTTTAGCCATGCCTCATTTTGCTCAATTTGACATTTTTTAGATCTGTTTTAGCAAGGGTTGATTCTGTGAGCAACAGCACCATCTAGAGGCCTGGCATATGTACTACAACGTCTCCAGCGCTTTCGAACGGCAATGCCGTGGTTGTCTCCTCCTGATTGGTGGAGTTGGCCCAATAGCCGTAGCGCCACTGTCCTGACGTCAGGACAGTGTTCAAATCTGGATCAGTTTTTATCAGATCCGTTGCAGCCCCTTTTTTAGAGATTTGGGTATGGAGGAAAATAGAGAGGGTTGTGTTTTCTGACACTTGGTGAGTTCCCTGGAACACCGGGGACACATATTCATGTATAAACGTACAAAAGTGCATTTTGCATGATAGGTCTCCTTTAAAGTGATGTTTAAAACTCAGTTAATGGGGCTCATTCACTGGCGCTTCCAAACAACAACCAACATAATTATTACATTCAAATGAATTACATTATTCAAGTTTACATTAACTTTGGATAATAACACGGGAGAAATGAGCGGAAGCGCTCTCTTTTCCTCTCTCCCCCTCTCTCTCCTGACAGCCTGTCAGTATCGTCTCATGCAGCTCACTGATCCAGTAATGAGTGACCGGACAGTGAAGAATAAATATATTTATAACTAGTTTAGCTTGTTCCAGAGGTAGATAAAATAGCTAAGTGTGTAAGGTCTAACTCGTGTGTTTTGCTCCGCTCACCGGTCCGTCACCGCTATTTTATTGTCATTTTCGGACACCTTCAAATACTGCCAGACTGGTGAAGCCATTTTGGCGAGCTTGTTTTGACGAGCACAAGAACACACAAGAGTTAGACCTTGTCATGTATTTTACGTCATGCGATCGGCTCTGGCGATCGGCATTTTTAGAGAGCACCGATCGATCGGCAGAGAGTGAGTATCGGCCGATATCGATCGGAGCATCCCTAGATGATACCATACATAAGCACGTATAAAACGGACATTAAAACAGACATACTTTGACTTTGTCTTGGGTTTGCTTTAGCTGGAGCACAAGCAGGCAGGTGATCTTGCTCCTCTCCTCTGTCAGCTGAGCTTCAGCCTGAGCCTCCAGCAGCTTCAGACCTCCCAACAGACTGTCCTGCTCGTCCACGATGCCCTGCAGGAGTGGGTGGGTAAGAGGACGTTAGAAAGACAAGGTATTTGCACTTTCCTTGAGTATTTAAGAGAAAGCGAGAGATCGCTCTTATGGAGTGAAGAGAGCGAAAAATAAGGATATTGCAATTAGAAACGGAGATGGTTCGATAAAATGTGCAAGAAAACGTTTAAGCTACAGTAATAAATATGAAATACATTATATATATTTTTAATTTCTCCAGCACCGATAACAAAACCGATAGCGTTGGAGCTTATCGATACCACAGTCTTTAAAAATGTAGCCCAAGGGCCGTTTTGATACCATCTCTAACAATCGTTGTGTTTTTTTAAGTCCTGAACAAACATGATATGTGAATGTAAAACAATACCTTCAGAGTCATCTTCCTCCCGTGTACAAGCTCAGATAAATATACCAGGTTGGTGCTCAGGATGCTGTCCATCAGGAAGAAGTTCATTGGCTTGGAGAAAAGTGACTGCAGCTTCTCCTTGAAGCACTCCCTGTCAGTGTTATCAGTAGACAGCTCACTGGGGTAAGAAGCGATGCAGGCCCAGAGCTTCCCCAAAATGCTGGACATTTTCTACAAAACCAAAAGAGTTATCATGAAGTTTCAGTACAGTGATGTTGGAGAAATGGAAACATATTGAGGAATAGAAAGCAACCACTATGAAACAACAGTTAAGGCGAGACATGGCAGGCAAAAACATCGTTTTTCATGCACTGGTCAATTTTGAGATTTTGTGCTATTTTGATTCCATAACATGTTTTCTTTCAGGCGTTTGGAAGGAAAACGTACAAAATACACATTTAGATGTTTATTTTACTATAGTTTGTCTATTTGCATCTGTAGATTTTTCCTAAATTCACCAAAAGTTAGCATTCTAACGTAACATAAAGTAATCAGAGGTATCGTTGGAAAGCTCCGTCTCTCCTGCACAATCTCATCGGATCCAAATATGGTCATTTCCTTTGTATCAGCAACCAATCGTGAAAGTACAAAGGGGTCTTAAACCAAAAAAACGAAATCTCATTGGCTGGTGTCAATTTCTGACAACGTGATTCGTTCAGATGCGCCACGTGGTGTGCTAAAACACTTCCTGGTTTAGCTTTCCGCTGGAAATTTAAATCTCAAAATGGCAAAAGAACAGCAAAAAAAACGTTCACAGAGAAGACGACAAGTGTCACTTGCACGAAGCAATGTTAGACAAAAAACAAATGACCCTGACCATGAAATATCTTCACGGAGTGCGTCGAGGCGCAAGCTGTCATCCAAAGAACAGGAGGGTTTAGGTAGCGCCACACAGCAATCTTTAAAGGTCGTTTTCTCAAAATGAGTTTTTTCTCCTATTCTGAGTGAGACATTTCCACTTCAGTAGCACGTACATACACCAAACCTTCCAGTTATATTCCTATCAATATTCTGAAGATTTTTACAGAAGGGTTTGTTCATATATCATTCATAGCCTGAATTATATAACATTTTATACCTAAAAACATGGCGAAAATTGATATTTTAGAGTTGTTGACAGTATTTTCTGATTTATGGAGTGATAAAAAGAGATATCCAAAATTCCTTCTGTAAAAGCCTTAGATACTAATATGACTACAAAATGAAACAAGAATTTTGAACCTGGCTTTATCCAATGTTCAGATTTGTGTTCCTGAAATGTGTTAAAATATGCGCATATTTAATGAGATTATGGGTCATTTGCATATTTAAACATGCTATTTCATAAAACTTGTAATACAAAAAACAATTGTCTTAATGTAAGTAATTAACTGGAGACATTTCTGGCTGATATCTTTAAGTTAAAAAAAGTAACCTATTCACCTGTAGTGTCTCGCCTTAACAGATTTGAAACCGAAGTTTTGGAGACAGCTAGTGCTCATTTTCATGATTCAAAATGCACGGGACAAAGATAATTAGCAAAATGTCTTATTTGGACTGGATATATTTCTCCAGGGGTGATTTATCTTTGTTCCTATTTTTAACGTTATAGGAGTTACAGGTTGGAGTTTATTCTATGAGCCTCTATTTTAGCTCTATGTCTAATTATAATAAAAACATATCAGTGTTTCCCCTACCATTGTCTGAAATTCAAGGTGTTTTTTTTGTTTTTTTGAATAAAAAAAAAATATATATAGCACCAAATTGCAACTGAAGTAATCTATCTACGGTCACTTTTCACATTGAACATGTGCTCTTTTATTAAATTAACTAAACGCCTATGTTATTTATCCAATGTATGTGCATGTTTCAGTGTCCACTGCTTTGCGTATTCACATTCTCCCTCCGCTCTGTTTCTGAAGGGCGGGGCTCCGCTCCCCACACACGCGAATGCACACACTCACAATCAGAGACAAGAGCGGAGGAAAGGAGGAGAACAACAAAGTGTAAAAAAGTCAAACAAATCTGCATTATTGCCCCGAGCTCTGCTGTCTGCCTGTTTGTGCCCCCCCCCAGTTTCAAATTCATTTATTATTATTTTTTAACCTCAAGCCGTTATCGTCACGGAGGAGAAGGACACACACAGCCTGCCCAGGTGGACGCCCGCGAACGCGACAACGAACGTAGCGTGCACATTCTAAAAATAGCTCACAGATGGTGAGCAGGTACCGCGGTTTTGAACTACAGTATTGAATTTGACAGAAAACAATGAAACGCCAGCAGAAGAATAGTCTAATGAGTTGGGTGAAAAAAAAGACAGGAGATGTGAGTTGGTTTATTCAGTAAATTAGCTCAGGATAATTGGATGTTCTGTCTACACCTGTTGATGTGAGGCTAATGCAGGATTTGCTAGCTTGATGCTACCGGCATTTAGCGGCAGTGACTCAACAAATTGCCTCTTAAAATGTATCGTCAGCAATGTATGACAAGCAGACTGCTTGTTTAATGTTAGACTCGCACCAATAGCTCAATATGATCATAACACGATTGCTTTCATATCAGAGATCAGATGAGGTGGAGCTGCCTCCAGCAATAGAGGATGAGGCAGAGAGAAGCAGCAGCAGCACAGGGTTGCAGCAGGTATGTTATATACTGTAGTCAGGTGATTTAAATGTATCAATGAAAGGAAGAAGTGTAGGCTACATGATAAGAAGGGAATACAGTTTGAATAAAAGTAATACAGTACAGTGTAACACTGTACTTTATTACTTTCTAATGTACAAATACTTTGTTACTGTACAATAACAATAATCCACAGCTCCTCTCTGCTCCAGAGGATAAAAAGAAAAAGAAATTCAACATTTTTTTTCCGTTGGGGGGGTACCCGAGCAGCACCCTGCCAAGGCAGTAAACCTAGGTGAAACACTGCATATAATATATATTATTCTGAAATGGACCGCTCTGCATAATGAGTACTTTTACTTCTGGTACTTTAAGTATATTTAGATGCCAATAGTTAGTTAGATTGCAGGACTTTTACTTATAACAGAGTATTCCTACACTCTGGTACGTCTACTTTGACTAAAGTACAAGATCTGAGTACTTCTTCCGCCTCTGGTTAAGAATCAGTCTGTAACAATGACTTAATTACAGTGCAGCACACTTTAGGTTTAAATATACACTCAATATATAATGTCCCAAGTCCCCCTGTAATATAATCCTTTCCGAATAGGGCTTTATACGAGTTTATAAAAAAAGCTGAGTATCGTTTACCTGCAGGTAGAGCTGCCTCTTGTCCAGCAGCTCAGTCAGTTGGTTGTCCCATAGGGAGTGGAAATCCTTGTCGTTCACGCTGGTCTGTGCCTTCACTCTGCACAGCAGCTCGTCCAGCGCACGCCTCTCCTTAAAAACGGCTAGATCCTTCCTCACCAGCTCCTTAAACACCTTCATGTAGCTCTGTGCTTGCAACTTTAGGTGCTCCTGGGGAGGCACAGAGCAGGAGTGTAAAGGTTATCACCCGATACAAAGAGTTAAAGGTCCCCTATTATACTGTTTCTCATCAATATATTATAGGTCTCAGATATATACAAACATGTCTCTGAAGTGTTTGGCTCCAAACACCAAACGGATCATTGCAGCATCCCATAAACCCCTCTGTTTCAGCCCTGTTTCAAAAGTGCTGATTCTCTGTCTGTTACTTTAGATCAGGGGTCTCCAACCTTTCTTCATCTGAGAGCTACTTGCATCACATCGCTTACAAGAGGAATAGTTTGGGCGAAAACTAAAAAGGTACCATGGGGTACAGGAATCCGTTTTGGTTTCAAGACCCTGGTTCACGGAGGATACCAAAAAAGTCCTCGAAAGACAAGGAAAACGTAACTATGTGCATTTAAAAATAAAAAAGAGGAATAGTTTCGGCGAAAACTAAAAGTAATAATAATTTTCCAAAGGGGGGTTCGTTTAGCATGAAACACTTGAAATAACTAAAGGACAAGTTAAACAAGAAAGAGGAAAGAAAGGGAGGTGATAGAAAACTATTGCTGCTAAAAAGTTGGCAATGATTGAGCGTCAGACCTAAACATTTCAGATGTGTGTATCTCACACTGCACTGTAACTTTTATTCATGTATCTTTGCTTTTAAATGAGTGTTTTTAAATGTCATTTCATAATATGTTTCTTAATGCTATTAATGTCTTTCATTTTTGTAAAGCACTTTGTATTGCCTTGTGTTGAAATGGGCTATATAAATAAACTTGCCTTACATTTATTCACATAGCACTCATCAGTAGAATTAAGCTACTTTTGTACGTGTGAAATATCAATACCCAAAGCTTATCAAAAATCTTAACTTCACATCAAGGTCCAAGAAAACAACAATTTCTCACATATGATTATGGCCCACATAGTATTCAGATAAATGTCCAAGAGAAAAAGACAATGTTTTCACTTCTTATTACGGCCCACATAGTAAATATATCGCCTTAATCACCACCTTACAAGCATCTTATGGCACATGTGTAAAATAAGTGCATTCACTCTTTTTCACAGTTAGTGAGATGACCATAGAGGTGTATGCTGGACCCACTTAGGTTCACTCTAATAGACTTAAGCTGAACATTATTTTGGAGATTTATAACCTCCATCTCCATAGGATTGACACTGAACAGTTCAGCCATCTTCTTCTTCGTCTTGACATTACATTATAAACCAAAGTAAACCAATTGTATAGCTCTAGCCTCCCTATATCTGTGTGTGAAATTGTTCCATCCTCAAAAACTAAAAACTAGGGATGGGTATCGTTAAGGTAAGCCGGCCCGGCTAAAATAACTGGATGGCCTACCTGCCTGTCAGCCTTCCATCGGGGCACAAACTTATCTCGTGCCCTCATTGGTCATGTGCGCGTTCGTGTGTGTTCGAGGAGGGGCTCTGTAAGGAAGTGGCAGATTTTCTCCGGTTGTGTATTTTCAAATTCTAGCGATCTCGAGCCGGTTTCTCAAACTTACCTACCCCACCTTTAAATTAAATACATAATATTTCACATCAAAAGAAACAACAATGTTTTAACAAATCTTATTAAATAATCTGATGACAGAACTGTAAACAGAATGGCTGAAACTTTAACAAAATAAATAACTCCGTTACCTCTAATCATTAACCCATGTTTGTATCATTGAGTTAGCTCCGTGTGTTGCTGCTAGCATACATAATACCCGACGTGGAAACGTTACTCGTGGATGGGGCTACAGAGCTACTAGAAAGACAGTCGAACCCGGTGCATTTCTCCGTCTGAATGTGGTGCACTTTTGCGAGATGTTTAGACAAATTGCTCGTGTTACCGCCATTACATGCTAAACTCTTATTGCACTTTAGGCAACGAGCGAGACGGGTAAAGTTTAACCACACCTCGGAGCGCTTATTTCTCTCCGCCATCTCCTCTGTGTGTGTGTGTGTGTGTGTTGCTGCATGTAGCAGCTACGTATGTGTGAACTGCCCCGCTTCCTCGCACACAGACGGGGGAGAGAGATCTCTCGCCTGGATTGGAGATCGAAAATACAAAAAAATGACGCATTTTGCAGTCTGTTAGAAACGGAGTTGGCGACACTAAAACTGCAACATAATGTTTGTGTAGCAATAATACACAAGACATCTTTTTTACATGTCTCCAGTACCGATAACGTCGGAGCTTAACGGTACCACGGTCTTTAATAATTCAGCCCCGGGGCCCGTTTAATACCGGGGCTCGGTACCCATCCCTACTAAAAACTAATGCTTCTGCAGTCTAGCTGCAGCTTAGGTCTTCTGTTAACACTGAATGTCTTGAATGTGGCATCACAAACAAGACTTGAGTCTGAACACAGCAGACAACAGGAGTATTTACAACAGCATATACAAACAAAAATACTGCATGTGGGTGCACACTTATTCTCTGTAAGTATTTTTTAAAACATAGATCCATGTGTGTGAGCCGCAGAGTCAGCGACACGGACTGATTTCCAAAAAGTCTGTGAACCGCGAGCGGCGAGCTACTGAAAAGCTGCCTGATCGACGTGTTGGAGACCCCTGCTTTAGATGAAAATAAGGAGCTCTAGGAGGAGATTCAGGTGATAAGGTGGGGGGGGTTACCTTGGTTGGTGATTGGTGATTGGCTAATGGTTACACAAGCCAAAGAAACGTTATGACATCATAAAGTGGCCAACATCTGATCAGCTCATTTTCAGACAGGTTTTTATATAATTGGATCAGGACAAAAAGTGAGAGAATCTTTCAAAATCTCTTTTTACAGAGGGGACACATGTTTATGTATAAAAGACATGAAAAAGTGGATTTTGCATAATAGGTGACCTTTAAACCTTTATGAAATTGTAAACGGAGTATGATATTGATATATTTACCATAGTGTTGCTCACAAACTGAGCTGCCTGCTGCTGCAGACGATACACACAGTTGTAAGTCTGCGTGGCTGCTTTGGTCAGAGCAAACTGGCAACGCTCAACCGTGACTGGGCCTGTGGTGTTATACTTGGAACAGGCATCGATAAAGTGCTGGAATTTTCCAAAGGACTCCTGCAATGATACGAGTTCAGTGGTGTCAGAGTTATTCAACCTTTGTGTTGCTGCCGATTACTAGAATCTGATCTGTGAAGTACCTGCAGCTGCTCAGTAGACTCCTGTAGCTGTGAGGTCATCGTCTCCTTCACTCTACTGCTGCTCTGATCCAGACTGCTCAGCTGCTCTCTGGGCACAGACATGGTTGTGATTGCATCACTGAGCAACTGAAAGGAGAAGATAAAACCAGAATTACTTCCTCCAGCAAACATTCAAGTTGAAGGTTACATACACATACACACATACACATATACACATATATACACATATACATATACATATATACACATATACACATATACATATACACATATACACATATACACATATACATATATACATATATATATTTGTATTTTGTATTCCTCAGGATTGTGGGAAATGCTATTTTGATCTCTCCGTCTGTACACACAAATTGAAAGATTGACAATAAAGTTGACTTTGACTTTTGATTCACAAGAAAGATACAGATTGAAAACCCAGCAATATGATGCTTCAGCCCTCAGCTGTTGACAGTGTGAAAGCATCAAATTCGACCTTAGACTTCTCCAACTCAAGCTATGTCAATATTATACACAGGGGTGCACATAACTGGTACGCATGCTGTCATGCTGGTCAGCTTTCTGTCCCCAGAGTCAGAACTAAACATGGAGAAGCAGCATTCAGTTACTATGCTCCAAATATCTGGAACAAACTCCCAGAAACCTGCAGGTCCGCTGCAACTCTTACTACTTTTAAATCCAGGCTGAAGACTTTTCTTTTTGCCGCTGCTTTTAATTGAACTATTCACATCTTAAACTGCACTGTAACTTTTAACTTTTATCCATGTATTTTTTCTTTTAATGTTTATTTTATTATCTTTTCTTTTTAATGACTGATTTTAAATGCCATTTTCATAATGTCTTCCATTTTTGTAAAGCACTTTGAATTGCCTTGTGTTGAAAGGTGCTATATAAATAAACTTGCCTTGCATGCGCGGCAACAATCTGAAATGCGTACCGTCACTTGTGTCACAAAGCGCATTTGCGTACCGATATACTTGTGAAGCTTTTCCAGAAGGCGGTTAGATCACCGGACGACAGAGTCGGTCTCCGTGTGCACAGACAGGGCTGCTGTTAACGTCGGTCTGTACAGCAGCCCTGCGCTAAAACAGCTGATCACAACGTTCACACGCTCCGCGGTCACGAAGCTCTGTACTCCACCCCCGTTGACAATCGCGAAGCGCTGTACTCCACCCCCCCCCCCCGTTGACAATCGCGAAGCGCTGCACTCCACCCCCGTTGACAATCGCGAAGCGCTGCACTCTACCCCCGTTGACAATCGCGAAGCGCTGTACTCCACCCCCCCCCCCCCGTTGACAATCGCCAGAAGTTGTGGAGTACCAAACACTGCCTTCAGGTACTCATCCGAGTACCTCACTGAGAAAGTTGTGTGCACCCCTGATTATACATGATATCTCTGCAGAAACTCAACTGAGTTCTCCTTAGCAACAAGAGAAATACACAATAGGCGCTTTCACACCGGAGTACTTCCCACTTTAGTTCCGATATAGTTCCGAAAATGTGCGTTCACACCAAAGAAATCCGGAACTACAACTTAGTTCAATCAGAAATGGGAACCTTTCCACCCCCTTCTCAGTCCCTGCTAGAGAGCAGGTACTTTCATGGGAGAAAAAGGTTCCCATTTCTGATTGGCTGGGCGGATTGCAAACCACGCCCCGTAAAACTCCCAAAACGTTTTGTGAAGCCGCCATTTTATTTTCCTCGCATTAGCATTAGCTCAGCGCAGAAACACAGAGAGACTAACTTATGGCAACACAAAAGAAAACATGGGAGTGGTGGAGATGAGGAGGTGTCGGCGTTTCTGGCGATTTACTCGGAAGGCTTCAGTAGAAGCTGCTGGGAGTCCCAGCAGCTACTACTGAAGCCAGTCCCCAACTCCGGGGACTTCCGGCAGGGGACTTCGGGTGGCAGTATACGCCGTGAAGTTGTTTGCGGCCTGCCAGTAAACCCAAAACAGAAGAAGAAGAAGTGACGTCAGCGGCTTCATTTGCCTAATCCTCCCTCAGGGACTTATTCCGGTGTGAACGCGATCTGTACTTAGTTCATCAGAACTCTTTAGTTCTGATGAACTAAGTACGGCAAAGTACTTGGTGTGAAAACGCCTTATGTGTGTTCTTAAAATGTGCCAGTACAGCACATCTCTTCTCAAATTGAAAACGATGCTTCATAGTAGATGAAAGGACTGTCCGACTCTTTGTACTTGACCCTTGTAAGAGCCAAAACACTCCTTATGATATTATCATTTGTTTACACCACAATTAGTCACTTCCGGCTATTATTGGTTTAACCTGTTAAGCCCTGAGCCTGTTTTTCAGGTCTCAAATTACCATATCTTCCCTTCTAAAAGGGTTAAATTAATAATCTTTTTTCTCAAAGTAATGATAAACCTGTGAGTTGGATGTAGAAAAGTCAGAATCAATATAGATGTTTTTTATTTTAAAGAAAATTCAGATTTTACATAGTAAAAAACTGTAAATGATAGTGTCCGTCCAAAAATTATTTTTTACTTATAGTGAAAACTACCCTTGGATGATGGTAAGGTAGACTAAAAGCTTTAGGAATCCAAAGTACAATATATAATAAGTACCCTGTATCAAGATTGAAGCAAAACAAGTGACATTTGACCTTTTTAGAGAGATTTAGCAAAAAGAAACCACTTCTGGGGTCATTTGGGTGGATTTTCCATATCTCTGGCCCCCCTTGCTCAATTTTGATGGTTGACACCTCTTTCTGACCGTTAGAGCCAATAGAATCGAAGGGGGGGGGGGGTCCCCCACACACACACTCATTGTGAAACGAAAAGGTGGGGGCTTTGCGCATGTAATTTTGCATTAGAGTGAAGCTACAGTCTAGCTCTGACATCTAGAAACGTAAAAGCATGGATTATCCGTCTGTTTGCTCATGGATTATCAGAAATCATTTCAAAGGGACACAGACACATTGGATTAACTTCAGCAGCGTTTTTATCATTTTAATGCCATTGAAGACCACTTTGGAGAGACTACAGAGCCAAGGTAAAAATGTTAGCATTTTTAGCTACCTAGCGTCACCTGTTTTGATGTCAGTCTTTGTTTATAACGTCGCAAATTCGTATAATTCAGTGATAATGAGGGTACCCATCAATTCTGTGTCACCTCACGATGTGAATCGATGTCATGGATGTGGAGAAGAGATAAATAAGGTTTAGTGAGTGATTTTCGGTGCAGTAATCTGTTAGCATTTTTCGCTCGTTGCTAATTCAGAGGCTCAGTGTTAGCATTGTGGGTTTTCTTTTGAAAAATAAATAAAAATGATCAGTTAGATGAGTTTCTTCCCGTTACATGGATATAAAACATTCATAGTTTATTAAATGAACATGCCCTCAGACACTGTTTCCTGCAAGATGTTGCGGCAGTGCCCCGGTACCGGGGTCTCTCGGGCTTAACAGGTCAAGGGTTTGCGTGGAAAGAGAAAAAGGGTGATTTGGCTCAGATCCTTTTTATTGACCGTATGGTTCTACTTTGTTTATTGTTTGTTTATTTTCTCTATTGAACATCTTGAAACTTAACCTCAGTACGGACTGCTTATTGGGAACGAGTCACAACGATGATCCAAGTTTAGCCTCTGAAGCGACATCATCCATAGGAAGTTTTTTTGCTTCAACCCTATATACTTCAGATATTTAAAAAAGGTCCCCTATTATACTCTTTTTCAAAAATATATTCTAGGTCTCAGATATACATACTCCAATGAACCACTTTGTGAACTACTGCGTGAACAAATAGTCCAACAGTTTAAGAACAATGTTTCTCAACATACAATTGCAAGGAATTTAGGGATGTCATCATCTACAGTCCATAATGTCATCAAAAGATTCAGAGAATCCAAGAATAGTAAATAATTCCACCTACAAAGCTTCAACAAATAGTGTCCTCAGTTCCCAAACGCTTATTGAGTGTTGTTAAGATGAAAGATGATGAATCATAATGGTAAACATGGCTGTGTCCCCCCTTTTTTGCTACGTGTTACAGGCATCAAATAAAAAATGAGCGAATATTTACCAAAAAACATAAAGTTGATCAGTTTGAACATTACATATATTGTCTTTGACGTGTATTCAATTGAATATACTGTAGGTTGAAAAGGATTTGCAAATCATTGTATTCAGTTTTTATTTACGTTTTACACAATGTCCCAACTTCATTGGAATTGGGGTTTGTATACTAAACATAGTGTTTGGCTCGAAATACCAAACCGGTCATGCATTGTAGCATGCCATACAACCGTCTGTTAAAAAGAACACAATGGTGCTCTCGGAGGAGATTCAGGTGATACCTTGGTTGCTTATTGGCTAATGGTTGCACAACCCAAAAAACATTTGTGACATCACAAAGTGGCCGAAATCTGATCAGCTCATTTTCAGAAACTTTACATTTATTATAAACAAGTATGAGTGTTAACAAACCTGCTGCGAGGTGTTAGCATTAACATTAAACGTTTTCTGATAAAGAACTTTATTTAAATAGATCTTCCAATAAGAATTTAAAGAATGTTTTAAAAATTATCATTTTATTTTATTTTGATGTCTATTATTTGGGGAATTTCTTTTTGTACTATTTTCTCTCATGTTTTTTTTCATATGTTGGCTCTGTAGATATAACTAAATGGAAATGAAAAAAAACTGTTGACTAAAATGTGAATATGTCTGTATAATGAGTCTGAAACTGAAATGAAAACTAAGTAAAAAAAGAAAAGAAAAAGGTAATTCCCTCTATTATTGCAAATTATATCGCAACTGCAATATCAGTCAACAATAATTGCAATTAGTTATTTCCAAATTGTGCAGCCCTATTCTAAACCTGTTTATTTACAGTGACAGGGAAATTAACCTTCCCATAATTCTTGGCAAGAGAGTGAATATGCCTGGTTTCCAAAATGCGGAATATTCTGTTACAACTATGGGAGTTAATGAATGACACCTACCCTTTGTTGCAGCTGGGTCTCTTGTTCTCTTCTCTCAGCCTGCTCTCTCAGCTGAGAGTTCAGCTGTTCCTGCTCGCTCAGCTTCTCCTTGGTGCCTGAGACCTGGAATTGGTAGGGAACATAATTTAGCAGACGAAAAAAGCGGACGGTTTATAGGCATTATTAAGCAATCCTTTAAAGTTGTGCCCATGTACCAACTCCACCCAGTCCTCCAGCTCTGAGCTGCTGCATTTATGGTCTGTGGTTTACTTAAGTTTAATAGATTTTCAAGATTTGTTCTCCGACAAAAAACAAATAACATGAGATAAAATACAACAAAAATACAGTAGAAATACAATAAAATGTAGGACTCAAGAAGATAAACATAGGGTAATCTGAAACTAGTTCTAAACACAGGCTTTATTAAACAGGAATGTCTTTAGAACCCTCTTAAAATGTTGGACACCGCCTGCCTCCCTGATAAAAACAGGAAGTTGGTCCCAGAGAAAGGGAGCATTGCAGCTGAACGCTCCGACTCCTGATCTGGTTTTGCAGACTAAGGGCAGCACTAACAGACCTGCAATCTGGGAGCGTTATATTGTCTCAAATGTATTCACTTAAGTATTTAGCTGCATGAGTAGCCATTTTACTACTTTAGGTTCCCTTGTTTTTTAAGGTCTTTGGTTACCATAAGTTTGATGGATTTTCACAATTAGTTCTACGATATAAAACACATCAGTAAACACTCCACTGATGAATGTCCAAAGCTTCTATGTGTCATAAAAACCGCGGTTGCTAACAAGTGTCTAAATCAGTGGTCAGCAACCGGTCGATCGCGAGCGTGGTGCGGGTAGATCGCTCACCGTAAAAAAATGTAACAAAAGAAAGAAAAGTAAAGAAATAATGTTTTTTTTTCATCCACCACCCCGTTAGCAGGTGCCACTTGATTGACGTATCTTTGAGACATTCCCTGTCACCAACCTTTTTAAGCACAAGATCCGAGGTCGGGGATCTTGGGCTTAAAAAGGTTGTTGACCACTGGTCTACATGAAACTACTACGTATGCGTCAGCACGCCAAACATTAGCCGTCTTTAGCTTAGCGGTGTTGTGGTGAAGAAATGCAACAGTATTGTAGTTTATAGCCCAACGTTAGCTTTTTACTTCGGGAGAGTACAAAATAATCCGGGGGCCCAGCAGGAATTTTCCCCAAGAAACTGGGCCTGATTATAGTGGGACTGGTCAGTATATACAAGAATCTCAAACTATAGTACTCAGTGTTTACCATCTCCATCCTGTCCTCCAGCTGGTCTCTGAGCTGCTGCTTCTCCTGCCTCAGTCCCTCCAGGGTCTCCTGCAGCTGGTGTCTCTCCTCACTGAGAGACGTCACTCTGCTCTGCAGCTTCTCCATCTCCTCTGTGGAGCTCTGACCGCTGCTTTCCTTCTCAGAGAGCATACCGTCTCTCTCTGCTTCAATGCTCTCCAGTTTATCAGTTAGAGTCTTCTTCTGTGAGGAAGGAAGCAGATCATTTTAGTCTGAAAACCAGTTTTATAAAAGTATATTCTTGCTTTTCATAACAAAGTGATTATTGGACACCAACCTGTTGATCTAAAGAGCTCTCCTTCTGCTGACACAGTTTGTCCAGCTCAGAATTCATCTGCTGCTGCTCACACAGCTTCTCTTGGACGGTCTTCAGAAGCTCTTGTGTTGTGGAAGCCTTTGAAAAAATGTGTATCTTTAGAAACTTAAATGTGCATCTGTTATCAGGAGCAGAAAAATGACAAACTTTGCATGTTTTATAACTCAATCGACCAGTAAAGGCACAAATAAATCATCTAAACTTAACACAGCCAACTTCAGGGTTCTTACACCTTTTCCAAAGTCAAATTCAAGCACTTTTCAAGCATTTTCAAGGTGCATTTTCAAGCATCTTACAGCTGTTGTAAATTACATATTTATATACACATACTTATACTCAAATGATTATTTCCCTACCTCACATTAAATCAGATGTTCTTTATGCTATAAACAACCAAATGTGTGTTTCATAATAGCATTCTACATGAGGATGAAAAATTAAAAATGTTAGAAAAGAAAACTAAGTTTAATATTTCAAAATGAGTGACCCATCTGTACGTAGACTGGGCATCCCATATAACCTGGCTGAGCCAATATAAAACAATCAGCCAAATAACTTTTCAATATATTATTGATTACTATTTTTGAGGTACTTTTAGGTTGGCAGTAAACACAAGTCAGAGGTAAATGGTGTACTTTGACTCCACTACATGTATTTAATACCTTTAGTTACTTTACAGATGTGGATGAATGATGTGAAATATAATCAAGTGTTAAATCAGACTTTAGTTCCACCTGGAGTAAATTCACAAGCTACTCTGTAGTATACAAAGTCATTCAAACTAGCTGCAACTTCACCAGCTTTGATAACACTTTCATGATCAATCATTATAAAACATATCATATACAATTATTAGGGATGCTCCGATCGCCAATTTTGGAGCCGATCGCCGGAATCAGTATCGGCCGATACCGATATCGCTCTCTTTTCCTCTCTCCCCTCTCTCTCTCCTGACAGCCCGTCAGTATCTCCTGCAGCTCACTGATCCAGTACAGTGACCCGACAGTGAAGAATAAATATATTTATAACTAGTTTAGCTTGTTCCAGAGGTAGATAAAATAGCTAAGTGTGTTAGGTCTAACTCTTAATGTGTGTTCTGCTCCGCTCACCGGTCCGTCACAGCGGGTGGAGCTGCAGGATTTCTGCTTCACACACACGTTGCATACCGCTATTTTATTGTCATTTTCGGACACTTAAAATACTGCCAGACTAGTGAAGCCATTTTGGCGAGCTTGTTTTGCCGCGCACAGAGAAAAGTGTCATGTATTTTAGATGCAACGATAGCCTAATCTAAAATGTTCTACTGCAGCATACCTTTTGTGTGGTGTGTGGCTCGTCAGCGCAGACTCTCGCATCGTTATTGTTGCACACTTTGCAGGAGGCTACTCTTGGGCTTCGCTTGACCCTCGTCTTAGCCATGGCTTGTATTTGTCTTCTGCTAGCCAACGCTCGTTGACACGGCAACCTCCTGGCATACTGTCATCTATCACTCTCATCAGAATGCCCAGGTCACACACGTAACAAACACTTGCAGGTCACGCGCATAGCGCGGGAATGCCGGAGCGGAGCTGTTTTATGTAAAAGCAAAGCAATTAAGCGCGCTCAGACTTCTTTATTTTCTTTTAATCTAAAAAGCGAAGTAAAGCATTTACAATTTCAAGCACTTTATCCCAAATTCAAGCACCATTCCCAAAATTCAAGCACTTTTCAAACCTTGAAAACACCTCGTACAATTTCAAGCATTTTCAAGGATTTCCAGCACCCGTACGCACCCTGCAACTTGGACTCTCCTATAAAGTGGAGTTTTCTCACCATAGTCATGTTCTGCTGTAGATCATCTTCCAGCTTCCTCTTCTGCTCAGTGACAATTTGGAGAGACATATTGAGAGTTGCCATCTGTCGAAGCATACATGTATTGATAAATCATCCTCCAAATACTTGCTAAACAATTCCAAACCCAAAAGACATTTTGAACAGCTCAGAGAAGAAAAGGTGTTCTTCTCAGTTATTTTTTCTTTTATGGGGGTCATAAAACTGTGTGAACGCCATGCTGGGTGACAGCATACCCAACTACTAATATATCTGATGAAAACAGACATGGGGGATGGAAACAGAGGGCAGAGCAACTGGTCACAAACCTCAGTGTGCATTGTCTCCATCCTGTCCTCCAGCTGGTCTCTGAGCTGCTGCTTCTGCTGCCTCAGTCCCTCCAGGGTCTCCTGCAGCTGGTCTCTGTCCTCACTGAGAGACGTCACTCTGCTCTGCAGCTTCTCCATCTCCTCACTGCGAGTGTCGGGCGTCCTCTCAGACAGCAGAGCGTCTCTCTCTGCTCGCACACTCTCAAGCTCCTCAGACAGTGTCTGAATCTGTTAAGTTAAAATATAGTCCTAATTGTTATTTCAAATAAACAGTGATGTGAAAACAAAGAAAATCATCAATTATTACTATTGGGTAATCCCCCTGCGCAGCGGGATTACCCAATAGCGATAGCCTTAGAGGGCTACGCCAATACTCATAGAAACTGGAGTTACAGTAGGTAACTTCAGTTTGGATTACTGGTCTGGGGGAAGCTTGCGAGAGTGTGTGTGTGTTTGTGTATTTTTGCATTTGTGTGTATTGTGTTTGTTTCCCGGGGAAAACACTCACGAGAAACACCGGCTGTTGTTATGCCTGCTGCTCCGTTCTCCGCTTGTAATTATGCCGTTACAAGCTTCAAAGTTGTATTTATCATCTGAATTTGCCAAAACAAGTTTAATATTCTGAAAGCCAAGACTTTGTTTATTTGAAATCAGATGAAAACAAACTGTCACGGAACCTGCCGTGTTATCTATGATTACTATACGCCTTTACCTCCGGAGGGAGGGGGAGCGGCGATTCGGAAGAGCCCAGTGCGAGTGAGAAGTGCCGGTCATCTTCCCTTTACAAGCTTCAAACATGTATTTATCGTGTGATTTTGGAAATAAAAGTTTCATATTCTGAAAGCCAAGACTTTGTTTATTTAAAATCAAACAAAACACCCGAACCCCGAGAAACACATTTTTTTTTACGCAAATCCACGTTTATTTTTAAATGAGCCGTTGCGACTTCCGACTGATTTCGATAGAGCGGTTAATATTAAACCCACAAAAAGCCCCGCTAAAAACAAGCTGGAAAAAATGAGTGCAACACCCATTATCTGTCTCCCATTACCCCTAGATTGGACCGGCTTGTTGCAGAGACACAAGCTCAGGGCTCCCACTAATTCAGCGTAATGGTGAGTTGTATTTTTATGCACTTTATATTTGTTTTTATGCCGGTGTTCAACTGGTTAGATCTGCTTACGCATTTACTTTGATTACTTCCTTCTTTTGCGGATGTGCGAGAGACTTTGAGACAGCAAACTGTGTTGAGTCAGTGTTTGAACGGGCAGATTATCTGTAAACTGCAGCATATAAATGAAGCCTGCAATAAATAAATAAAATCGATTGAACTATAGCCGAGGCAATTAAGGTCTGAACCCATGCTTTGAAAAACGCTACTTTACTTGCTTGTTATCTAATCGTCTGTTCCGCGGTGCCGTAGACACGTTTGTTTTTGTTGCAATTATATGCCTTTGTGGTGTGTTTGATTGCAACATTCAACCCAATGGAAAATAGCTAACCAGTTAACACAATAACCAGTTAAACAGGATCACAGGTTGTATTATGTCATATTTATCCCCCCACAATTTGATCGCCGGTCCGCGAAAATATTTTCTCACATGAAACCGGTGCGTGGTGCAAAAAAGGTTGGGGAGCGCTGGTCTATATGATCATATGACAGAGGAACAGATCGTCACTGGGCTTACAACTAAAGACACAGCCACGCAAAAACTGCGGCATGTGTACAGCTCCTTATGTGTACTGCAATTTTTGAAGTGCCGGAGCGGCGTTCTGGGGCTCTCCGTCAGCACTACACCACGTGATGACACGCTACGCTCGTGTTGTGTTCAAGGAACCTGTCCTTGGCCAGGAAAAATAGGAGCTCGCTTGTTTAATTATTTTGCGGTCTAGATTTCTTTAATTTCTTAATTTTTTCGTGTGTTTATAAATGACCTCGAGGGCCGTATCAAATGGTCTCGCGGACCGTAGGTTCCCCACCCCTGATGTAAAGAAATGCAACAGTATTGTAGTTTATAGCCCAACGTTAGCTTTTTATTTCGGGAGAGTACAAAATAATCCGGGGGCCCAGCAGGAATTTTCCCCAAGAAACTGGGCCTGATTATAGTGGGACTGGTCAGTATATACAAGAATCTCAAACTATAGTACTCAGTGTTTACCATCTCCATCCTGTCCTCCAGCTGGTCTCGGAGCTGCTGCTTCTCCTGCCTCAGTCCCTCCAGGGTCTCCTGCAGCTGGTCTCTGTCCTCACTGAGAGACGTCACTCTGCTCTGCAGCTGGTCTCTGTCCTCACTGAGAGACGTCACTCTGCTCTGCAGCTGGTCTCTGTCCTCACTGAGAGACGTCACTCTGCTCTGCAGCTGGTCTCTGTCCTCACTGAGAGACGTCACTCTGCTCTGCAGCTTCTCCATCTCCTCTGTGGAGCTCTGACCGCAACAAACCTGTTGTTGTAGCTGAGCTTGCTGCTCTAGGCTTAGTGTTTCCAGGTCGATGTTTCTCTGATTGTGCTCTTCAAGTTGTTGTTCAAGTGAATGTAGAAGGCTCTCAGTCTCTGTAGCCTAAAAACAGGAAAATAAATAACAATCAAATATTTCCCAATCATCCATAGAATAGGAAAATGTATAAAAATGTGAGCAAACGCTCTGTAACACACAAACACTTAAACCACCAAGTGTCAGATCTCAGACACGGACCACTCCCCCTCACCTTTTCCATATTACGCTGCAGATCGACTTCGAGCAGGCTCTTCTGCTCACTGACAGTCTGTAAAGTATCCTGCAGTTGCTTTATCTGAGGAGGAAAATTGGCCCATTCAGTATTTTGAATATTGAACCAGGGATTTTAAAGATGCGAATGGAATTTATTAATATTATTTATTATTATAAAAAAAACACCATGAAGAGACCTAAGCCAACATCAGAAGACTTCAGTATTATTCTTTTACCTCTTTCTGAAGGTTGGTTACTTCCTCAACATGCAGTTCTGAGGTCAGTATTTCTGGCTGGTTAAACTCACATTCGGCTTGGGCAACCTGCACAAAAAAAAAAACGTTAGTTTCTTTTCCCCCCCTTTCTAAAAAGATCTAAAATAATCAGTCATAAACTAATATTTCTTTCTTTAGAAGAACCCATTTTAACTAACCATCTCCATCCTGTCCTCCAGCTGGTCTCTGAGCTGCTGCTTCTCCTGCCTCAGTCCCTCCAGGATCTCCTGCAGCTGGTCTCTGTCCTCACTGAGAGACGTCACTCTGCACTGCAGCGTCTCCATCTCCTCACTGTGAGTGTCGGGCGTCCTCTCAGACAGCAGAGCGTCTCTCTCTGCTCGCACACTCTCAAGCTCCTCAGACAGTGTCTGAATCTGTTAAGTTAAAATATAGTCCTAATTGTTATTTCAAATAAACAGTGATGTGAAAACAAAGAAAATCATCATTCAGTTCAGATGGTTATCAATCATTATTTCACGGCATAGTTGAATACTCGATTCAGATTGGTTGATTCCGACATTATAGAAGTTATTAAGTAGGCAAATTAACTCAAACACGTCATGTTACAATTATTTTGCTGCTTGCTACAAAAGGAAAACTTGCGCGGCTCTCATGTCAGGGGTACTTGAGTGAGTGGCATGCAGGCTCTGCATGCACAGCAAACCACAATCAAATCTCTAAATCAAACGGATCCGGTGATTAAAGGTAAAAACACTGAATAAAGTAGTTTCATGTGTTTCTCCAGGGCAGATCGGCGCTGCTAACCGAGCTAGCTCAGCTTGTTGCTCTGATAACTTAAGATCCAGACGTCCGTGACTAAAATCCTTACTCCGGTTAAATATAGTTAAAAAAAATACCAATTGTATAGCATTAAAGTTCAAGAAAGGATGGTTTGCGAAAAAAAACGGTCTTTTCTTCAATTCCTGTATGTTTTCATATCGCAATATATATCGCAGGGGGGGGAAAAAAAAATCGCAATGTCAGTTTTTTCCAATATCGTGCAGCCCTAATTATGGGTATCAGATATATAAATACCAAACAGATCATACATTTTAGACATCCCTCATATCCCTCTATTTCAGCCCTGTTAGAGAATGGCTGATTCTCTGGTGGCGACGTTTCTGATAGGGCCGTGGGTGTAAAGCCCGCCCACAATTCCGATATTACGTCATATCGGACGCAAATCTGGATCAGCTCCGTTATACCCCCGTTTTTAGAGATGTGGGTACGGAGGAAAAGAGAGAGGGTTTATTTTCTGACACTTTGTGAGTTCCCTTACACAGCGGGGACACATATTTACGTATAAAGGTCCTTACACACCAAACTGACACCAAAGAACACGTCCCGACGGAACGTCGCCTCACGTCTTGGCCATCTTTCGCACTGGAACACACCGCAAAGACTTCAGCCGACGGCCAAGTTGCACGTACGAACTGCGCATGCGTGAGTGGCAATAACTCTCCTTACCAGCAGGTGGCGGTAGTGTGTATTCGTCATTCAAAAGAGGCAACAACCGGAAGACAGGCTGCGTGATACACCGAGAGAAGAAGAACAGACTGCGTGATATAAACAAACAACAAATAGCGTGTGCGTTCCATTTTCACTCTACAGCGAGAAGCTCATGGGGCTTTCCTGAACCTGTGTCGAGGGCTGGAGTTAAATGAAATCTCAGATTTGCCTTCTTAATAGTTTGTTTGGGTCCCTCACTTCCTTTTCCAGGGTTCCTGCAGGTTTCGCCAACTCAAATTTAAGACTTTTTAAGACCTTTTTAAGACCACTTCGAATAGAATTTAAGACCTATTTCACGGCAAGAAAGTATGAAGGAAAATTGCTATGAAAGAAGAAATACATCCCATAATTACTTACAAATCAAATGTATTCATGTTCAACATAAGAACAATGACTGAACATAACAGCATAACAGTACAGATAAGAACTGTGTTAGCCAAAAAGTGTGTATGTGTCTCTGTGTGTGTTAGGGCTGTGCAATTAATCGTATTTTATCGCAATTACGATTTTGGCCTGCCACAATTACAAAAACAACATAATCGAAAAAAACGATTATTTTGCTTTGCTAGGTTGTGACAGTGCACTAGAACATATTTGATCCAATTAATTTGAGTCTAATTCATTTGTATTTATCATATTTATATATGTTTAGTAGCTTGTGGAAGTGCGCTCCAAAATATTTGTTGATCTTGTTTATTGGTATTTATTATTTATTTAAATATATCATTTAATTAATTTTTGTATTGGTTTTTCAGTTGAATTATACGTTCAGGGTAATCAACAGTTAAAAAGATACTGTTCAAATTATTATTTGTTTTAAAGTTCAATAAATGGATGTTTTCAAAGTCAATGAATAATCTTATTTAATAATCGTGATATCAATTATTGACCAAAATAATCGTGATTATGATTTTTGCCATAATCCCTAGTGTGTGAGAGAGAGAGAGAGAGAGAGAGAGAGCGAGAGAGAGAGAAACAAGAGCTATATTCAGAGCTCTGCTGCCTTGGCTACAATCTTTCATCTTTGCTGTTGTATGATTGGTGTTTAACTACGGTATTTAGCGTCTACAGTAGGGCTGTGCGATTATGGCAAAAATCATAATCACGATTATTTGGGTCAATAATTGATATCACGATTATTAAATACGATTATTCATTGACTTTGAAAAAATCCATTTATTGAACTTTAAAACAAATACAAATAATCATTTGAACAGTGTCTTTTTAACTGTTGATTACCCTGAACGTATAATTCAACTGAAAAACCAATACAAAAATAAATGATACATTTATATTTACATTTAAATAAATAATATCAAAAATAATAAATACCAATAAACAAGATCAACAAATATTTTGGAGCACACTTCCACAAGCTACTAAACATATATAAATATGATAAATACAAATAAATGAGAAAAAAATAAATTAGATCAAATATGTTGCAGTGACAAAACCTAGCAAAGCAAAATAATTGTTTTTTTCGATTATGTTGTTTTCGTAATTGTGGCAGGCCAAAATCGTAATTGCGATTAAAATACGATTAATTGCACAGCCCTAGTCTACAGCACCTCCGCTTTTAGGGTTGACGTTGAAGACCCAAACGTCGCCCGGAGGTCCAACGGTGTTGTTGCGGGAGCTGCTGCACTAGCTAACGCTACATTAGCCAAACAAACGCTAATTTCTTTTGCAAAAGGTGCAGCGGGCTTCAAACACGTTCCCTCCACTGGTTTCAACCAAGCACTAAATTCGATGTTTTCCAACCAAATACGGTTGAACTTATACTTCCCCATATTTATTTGTAAGTAGATTCGAAGATACATGAGTTTCTGACTGCCGCTAGCTGAAGCTTGGTTGCTAGGTTACTAGCTGGGTGTTCTCCGTTAAGGGGCCGGGGGAAACAAAGTTAGTGATTACTGGTTCCATGTTGATTTATTTCAATACAAATTGTTGGGGGGAACTGAAAGGCTCTTACCGTACAGGTTACTTTGCAGCCCGGACATTTCCCCCAAAACACATTTTAGACGCAATCGCAACACAGAAGTACCTTTCAAATCCCATAATTTTTAAGACCTTCTAAATCATATTTAAGACCTTTCTTATTTTTTTGGTCATATTTAAGACCTTTTTAAGGCCTTAAATTCAGATTATCAAATTTAAGACTTTTTAAGACCCCGCGGGAACCCTGTTTTCGCTTATCATGCACTGATTCGCTAAGCTGAACAGCCAATCAGAGTGATTTCTTTGGCCGACGGCCTTTAGCCGACAGCTTCCCGACTCAACATGTCGAATCGGCGGCGGAAGGTGTCGGCACGGCCGAAAAGACACGACGGTGCAGTACACACCAAGACACACCAATCTGAGTAGGGCGACACGTCGCTCATTGACATCTATCGACGCCGAAAATCGGCTTGGTGTGCAAGGACCTTTAAAGACATCAAAAAGTGCATTTTGCATGATAGGACACCTTTAATACGTTTTCGGAGTAAAGTTGTTCGTTTATTTAGTATGTGGGCGTGTAATAAGCGGGATAATGAGCAGTGAGGCGGTCATTATTGGATTCAGGTTGATCATGGAGCCCTACGTGAAGCGGTTGGGTGTTCTTATTCCAATAATGACCGCCTCACTGCACATTATGCCTCACTTAAGATTGTGTCTAAATTCACTGGATTGATTCAAAAGAGTGTAGTCCTGCCTGATTGTGCAGCTCCTGCAGCTGGAGGGTAATCTCTGCATCACTCCCATCACTCGCTCTGCTCTCCAGCTCTGCCTTCTGACTCTTCAGTGCGCTGATCTCATCTTGGAGAACTCTCACCTTCTCCTGAGACACCCTCAGCTCCTCCTGGTTCTCCATCATCTGAAAGAGATTACCACCACAAGTGTTCAAGTGAAGATCTATTTTGTACAAAGTTACTTACAGCTTGCATTTACATTTCTTGTGCCACTTGTTCCTGAAGAGGTGATAATTAGTAAATATAAAGTCCAGTTTTACTAAATGTAACATGATTTTTTGATGTCCATCAAAGCCTTGTAGTAAACCTGAGGTAACTCCTCTGTTGAGACTTGTAAAAACATGCTTTAAGATGACAACAAAGGTGGGGTTAAAGGAGTTTGTAGAACAAACATGATTCTGATGAAGTAAGGATCAAATTAAGAATCATATTGGTGTCAGTAATAGTATGTTTAGATTTTACAATGAATACTTTAAAGCTGAAGTAAGCACAGAGTTGTTGTCAGAGTATCCTACAAAATGTCATTTAGTAAAAAAAGAGTATTCCAGAAGCATTAAGGAAGTCTTACAAGTGTTTGCAGCTCCTCTATCTGTGCACTGGTCTCGTTGGGAGGAGCTTCCTGTTGGGATGTCTGTGCATTCTCCAGCTGTTTGATCGTCTCCCTCCGTTGGCGGTTCTTCTCCAGGGCTGTCCTCAGCTCCTCCTGATTCTCAATCATCTGTTTGGGAAAAAAATAATTTATGTTTGGGCTACACCAGCGTTTCTCAAAGTGTGGGGCGCAGAGATGTGATAGGTGGGTCGCGAATGGACGTGAGATTTTTTTTGGACCTCAGGCCAGAATCGAACCTGGGTCCTCGCGGGCGGTAGTGGACTGTTACAGCCGGAGACTTGCAACAGCGGTGGACTTTCACAAGATTTAAAGATCTCCTATCAAGTTATTTCTAGGCATATATTATGGGTATCAGATATATAAAAAACATAAAGTGTTTTGCTCAAAATACCAAACGGATCATACATTTTAGACATCCCTCATATCCCTCTATTTCAGCCCTGAATGGCTGATTCTCTGGTGGCCACGTTTCTGATAGGGCCGTGGGTGTAAAGCCCGCCCACATTTCCAATATTACGTCCTA